GGATGTACACTGGGAAGAGGTAACTATGGGGAGGAAGTGGGAGGGGAGCTGTTGCATTGTGGTAAACTGTGGTCAATGTCATGAGACAAAGTATATGTAAACTGCTATATGGAAAGTGAATTTGCGCTGTAAATCTTCACCCAAATCACAATAAAAAATAAAAATAAAATTTAAAAAAAAAGAAGTGCAAGAGAGCCCCTGCACTGTCCAGATGCTGCCCTCTGTGCAAGGGGGCACCCTACACGGGCCTCTTAAAAGCACCTGCCACCAACAGTGAAACCGGGGGTCTGACTCTCATTGGGTGCAGCACTGACCTTTATTTAAAATATGGATATTCCTACAGGTACACAAAAAATTGCATCCTTCATTGAAAACAAAATCCATTAACATCTACTTAGATGCTTTGTATGTGTGTGCATGAATGTTGGTGTAAACATGCTCTGGAAGGACATATAAGCAGCGGGCCACTGTGGGGCTTCTGGGAGGAAGCAGACTCCCTTCTTCCCTCTTCCTTGGGTTTTTAGCTTTTAGTGACAACACTTTTGGTCTGTGAGAAGTAGTTGCTTTTCATATGACAATCAGTAACTTACTGGCCAGTAGCTACTATGTATACTCCTATACCTCTCTTCTTGCTGGGATAAAACACCTGTTTATCCAGTTGTATCTGTGGCCATCGGTAATTCATTAAGCTTAGATCTGGTGTCTCCTGAAGCAGCTGTGAGGATGGAGAGGGACAGGTTAGCAAAATAACCCACAAGGATCAGGAACCAACTCTTGGGGAACCAGACTGCCTTTCAGAGATAAGAATGGGGAAAAGTTTACGTAGAAGCTCTAATGGTCTCTGGAAAGATGTATCAGATTCATTTTCTCTGCTCTGGCTAAAGGGTGCTTACTGAATTGGGTATCTTAGTTGATTGGAGACCATTCTGGCTCTGCAGGGTTCTTGGCAGCAAAACCAACCCCAGTTTTCTCCAAAGGCAAAAAGAAGATGGTGGCAGTAAGAGAGGTAGAAACAATGGCCTCAACTATAGAATCTGCACTGCTTCCAGCTCCTTCTATGGACACATGTGCCTCTTACCGCAACCCCAGCATTTGTGACATACAAGGAGACGGACCTAGGCAAATGAGGAGGACACACTGACCTTGTTCAATTCAGAGAGCTTGGTTTGGACAGTTCCCATGGCTAGTGATTGACCCCAAAGAGACCAAGCTCTTCTGCTCAGCTTGTAAAGCAAGACCCATGACAAATCATCCCGGTTAGTCAAAGGTTACACTGAGCCTTTCAAAGTAGAAACTTTAAAGTACCATGAGGTCAGCAAAGCACACAAGCTCTGTGTCAGCACTACAGGGGTCAATGAAGATGCCCCTCAGGCTTCCCTAGTCCCCGAGATCTCCAGTGACCTGATGACCAACATGGGGCACTTTTTGAATGCTGCCTATTCCATTGCATACCACTCAAGGCTATTGAATGACTTTGAGAATATCCTACAGCTTCTCCAAAGCACTGGAACCATGATTTTAGGCAAGTACTGAAATCACACTGCATGCACCCAGTTCATCAAGTACATCTCTGAGACCCTGAAGAAAGAGATCCTGGAGGATATCCAAGACTCCCCTTGTGTGAGCATGTTGCTGGATAGCACCATGGATTCCTTTCACTAGTCATGTGTGGGGATTTATATCCGTTCCTTGAAGGACATGGAGGTGAAAGAGTCTTACATCACTTTGGCCCCTCCATACAATGAAACTGTGGATGGGTATTTTGAAAACATCATTTCTGCCCTGGATGAAATGGATATCCCTTTCTGGAAGCCTGGCTGGGTAGTGGGCCTTGCTGAGTTGCAAAGGAGGCCTTGTGGAGAAGTTGCGAGAGGTCATCCCCCAGCTGTTGCCTGTGCACTGTGTGGCTCACCAGCTCCACCTGGCTGTGGTCGATGCATGTGGAAGCATTGACCTGGTGAGGAAGTGTGACCGGCACATCCGGACTATCTTCAAGTTCTATCAGTCCTCAAACAAAAGGCTCCATGAGCTGCAGGAGGGCGCGGCACTGCTCGAGCAGGAGATCCTCTGCCTGAAAGACCTGAACGCTGTCAGGTGGGTGGCCAGCAAGAGGCGGACGCTGAATGCACTCCTTGTAAGCTGGCCAGCACTGGCTCGGCACCTGCAGAGCGTGGCTGATGCTGGAGGCCAGATTGGGCACCGAGCCCAAGGCATGCTGCGGCTGATGAAGAACTTCCACCTCGTCAAGTTCTGCCACTTCCTCCTGGACTTCCTGAACATCTACAGACCTTTATCTGAGGTGTGCCAGAAAGTAGTCGTGCTGATCACGGAGGTGAATACCACACTGACATGGGCCTGCGTGGCCCTGGAGACCCTCCTGCACCAGGCAGGGCCCAAGGAGGAGGAGTTCAATGCCAGCTTTCAGGACAGGCAGCTGCATGGCATCCCTCTAGGCAGGAAGGAGGTGGTGGAGCAGTGGTTCCAGGCAGACAGGGAGAGAGTGGTCCTGACTGGGATCAAGTGCCTACAGCGGAGATTTGATGCAGATTGTCCTCCACAGTTCAAGAACATGGAAGTGTTCGATACCATGGCCTGGCCAGATGGGATGGAACTTGTCAACTTTGGGAACGATGACATTCTTGCCCTTGCCAGGTATTTTTCACTCTCATTCCCCACGGGGTACAGTGAGGAAGCTTTGCTGGAGGAGTGGCTGTGCCTAAAGGCTGTGGCCAAGAACCTCCCCTTCTCCATGCTGTGTAAGAACGTGCTTGCCCAGCACTGCCCCTTCCCCCTGCTGAGCAGGCTGGTGGCTGTGGTGGTGTGTGTGCCCATGTCCACGTCCTGCTGTGAACGTGCATTCCATGCCATGACCCAGATCAGGACTGATGAGAGGACCAAGCTCTCCAATGTGGTAGTCAACATGCTCATGATGACAGCTGTAAACGGGGTGGCAGTCACAGAGTATGACCCACAGCCAACCAGCCAGCGCTGGTACCTGACCTCGTCTGACCACCGCTTCAGGCATGTCTATACCTGTGCCCAAGTGCCTTTGTGCTCGCACACTGGTAAGTACATCAGGCATGTATGGCATAGTCCCTGGGGGTGGGAACACCATGCTAATGTGCCATGAATTGGATAAAGGCCCGTGTCTGTGAGCCTAGCATGAGTAGTTGAGTATCTGCTGAATCTCTGGTATGTTTGCTGGCCAGCAGGTGCTGGAAACACATGCCTCCCCTATAAGCTGATAACCCAGCAGAGACAAGGCATGCCCACTGTAGGCAGCAGGGTCTAGAGTTCAGAGCAGGAATTCTGAGCATGTGCCCAGGTCCAACTTCTAGCTCTGCCACCTAGCTTGCTGTGTGACCTAGGGCAATTCAGACACTTTGTGCTTTAGGTTTTCATTTGTAAGATGAGTTAATATGTATAAAGCACTTAGGCAATTTAAGGGTTAGATATGACTAAGGCAACCACTCATGATATCTGGAAGGTGAGGTGGACTCTGTTGGACTCCAGGTGAGGCTGTATGGACTTGAGTTGAGCAGTTGTTTTTGAGAGGGAGAAGATCAGGAAGATCAAGGAAGAAGTGGCAGCAGGTCAGGAGGTAGGAAGCAGAGCAGATCCGGAGGAGAGGGGAGCAGGTGTGGGGGTTGAAGCAGGTTGGGGAGGTCGGAGCAGGTCAGGGAGGTCGGAGCAGGTCAGGAGGAGGTTAGTGCATGTCAGGGAGGTGATACTTGGGGTGAAGGCTAGGGTGTCTCAGGCAGAGGAAGAGCATGGACCAGGTTGAGAACAAGCTAATCCTACTGAGGCCCAGGGAAGGAAACCACCTGATGGGACTAGAGGAGAAAGTTATAGGAGAGGGCAAGTTCTGGACACTGAAACCAAAGCAAATGAGCACTGAGATTCCCCAGCTGCTCGGTGCTTTTTTGAACTGTGACAGAACAGTGATTGTTCTCTTTTGGTTCATTTTTGTAGTTGGCCTCCTTCCTGTGCCCTCCAGCTGTGATCATCAGCAGTGGGGCTGGGTCTCAGGGCAACAGAGGTGTGGGGAGTCGGGTGCAGAGCAGTGCAAGGGGAGGCACAGTGGGGCAGAGTGCAGAGAGGAGAAAAGGCCACAGGCGAGCAGGAGGCTCAGCGAGTCTGTCAGCAGGTGTGTCATGTGATCCTTCTCAGTGTTCAGCCTCTGGGGAGACAAGAAGACAATTATCATGTGTGCCCCTTGGGAGATGACCCTTTTGTGGGAGTAGCAGGACTGGTATGTATGAACTAAATAGGGAATACCCTGGTTTTATGTCACAAAACCCTCCTGGGCAGGGTTTCTCATCCTTGACACTAACCTTGGGCCACATCATTCCTTGTGGTGACAGATGTCCTGTGCACTGTAGGATGTTGGACGGCATCCTGGCCTCTATCCATGAGGTACCCAGTAGATACCAGTAGCAGCTTCCCCACTGTGGCAATCAAAAGTTCCTCCAGACATTGTCAGATGTCCCCTAGGGACAGATCCACACTCCTCATTCCCTAGAACTGCTGTTTTGGTGCTCAGATCCCACCAGGAGATGGTACGGTGGAGTGCAGTTCTAGTCCAGCCTGCAGTCGGTCCCACTGGATGTACCTGGGCTCAGCTGGAAGCAGGAGGGTTATTAGTCTGTTCCCATCTGATGGTTGGTTCTCTCTCCTTCTGCCTGAGGTGCTGGACTCAGGAATGAGGCGAAGGGAGTGATCAGCATGGAGAAGTCCATGACCAGAAGGTGCCCACCCAGCCTCACAGGGAGCCGGCAGAACTGCAGAAGGATTGCGCTATGGTATCACCCAGCAGGCTTGTGCATCCCCCCAACAGCTGTGTCAACAGAGAGGGGCTGGAGCCAGAGCAGGCATGCTAGTGCTGTCTGTGGCCAAGGCCACCTGAGTGGTGGCCACAGTGACAGGCTTTCTAAAAAGACTCTAGAGTGCCCCAGATCTGTGTTTGGTAGAAAAAAAAAAAAAACAGAAACTGGCCACTGACAAGACCACATTCCTGAGAGGTGCCACAGCTGTCACCTTCCCACACTTAAACTCTTAGAAAAAGGCTTATACCACAAATTCACTTCTGGGGTAGTCCAGGAAGTCACCCCATTGTGAGAGATGTCACCAGCACACTCCTGACGGCTTGAAGGAGCAACTTGGCCCACTGGCTAGGTGGGGAGCATCCAGGAAGCCCTCACAGTGCTAGTGGCACTGGCCAGAGCTGCATGTCAGGGTGGAGGGCTACAGGCCCACAGCAGTCCTCAGTCTTGGGGCTCATTCTGGCTCCTGTGGCAGAAGCAGTGAGCCTCACCTTCAAGTGAGGGATACACAAAGAATTCTCTACCTTCTCCCACGCTCCTTTCAGAATGAAACAAACTAAAGGCCCATTGAACTGAGCCTGAAGAAGGCTGCCCTTCAAGAACTTCTGGACAGCGTGTGTGGGGAAGGGTCCCCCTGGAGGGTGGCCAGATACTTCCCGAGCTGCATCACACTGGGCCCTTCCGAAAAGTGTGCAAGACCAAGCCGGAGTTGAGAGGCTAGGATTCTGCCCAGCTCTGCTGCAAGCAGAGGTGCCCCTGTGGTTTCTCCTTCCCGCTTTGCTGTGCCTCAGTTTCCCTCTCCATGAATGGACAGCAGAGAATCCAGGTGCCTGCTGGCTCCCAGACAGCCCTGGGATTGGTGAAGGGTGTCAGCCTCACACACTGTGTATCCTTGGCTGAGGGCCCCCTGCTGATCAGCCTGAAGTATTGCGCTTTTCCTACCACACTCTTCTGTGGGGCAGCTACGCCAGGCAGGTGTAGTAAGCTCATCCGACAGGGATCGTTTTGTGTATAGTTCTGTCTTCTACAGCATGGGTGGGGCCACTTCTCACTTCCTAACAAGGCAGCAGCTGCCTGTCACCTCCTTTTACTCAGCAGGCATGGTGCTGCATCCTGACCTCCTTGTTGCCCCTCTCCTGGAGGGTCCCTGTTCTGTGTAGCCCATCCAGATGGTCTGGCCCTTAAGAACCAGCAGTCCATAAGGTTCTGGAAGCTACTTGGGATGTCATCTCTGAGCATCCTCTATGACTGCAGACCTCATTTCTGGTACCCCACCCTTAGTCTCAGTGCCTTCCTTCCCTGTCTGGCCTGGAATTCCTCTAAGAGGAAATGTGGAAATGTCTCCCTTTCAGCTGTGTGGGCTGGGAGTCTGAGGTTGCTAGGTGCCCTCCGGAACAAGACACTGCTGTCCACAGGGCCAAGATGCACAGCCCTGCCTCCCCTCCCACAGCAGTTTCTGTTGGGAGTTCAGGAATTCACCTTTGGTTAGGGGGCTGAGTTGGTGGGATGGAAAAGAAAGGCCTCTTCAAGTGTGGGTGTGCCCAGCCACACCCAGAGGGTTCCAGATGGAAGTGGCTTCCCCAAGTTCCTCAGGACAAAAGACTGGGCTTCTGCGGGGGTGATTCAGGAGCCAGGTGGGGTCCCCCCCCAGATAGCAGGATACTGAAGTGGTACCCTCTACCCTGCAGAAAGCATCTAATGGCAGGCTTGGACCAGGGTGACAGAAACACCATTTAGCTTAGGTATTTGTACTGCGTCTCTTGGGTATCGCTGCCCTGGTTTCCTGCTTATTTTAGCTAAAGGCAAAGAGGGCTACTGCTGTTTTATGGAAGGAAGGACAGACGAGGACTGAAGCACTGTGAAAGCCTTTGCTGGAGACCATTGCCCAGGTTCACCCCTTTGTCTCCAGAGGCTAGCTGCACCACAGACCCTAGGGCCTGGAGATGCTCTGGCTGGGCAGGGCTCCTGGTTTTGCCTCCCCTACAAAATGCCAAAGTGTGCTAGGGGTGGAAGGAGCAAACACTTTCCCTTGGCCAGAGTCCTAGCCAACAGTCCCTGTCACCTTCAGTGTCTCTGTATAAATCTTGTCATTTCCTCCTCCCTCCCCATGATGGATGCCCTCAGGTCTGACATCCTGAGCAACTGGTAATTTGATTTCAGTGGCCATCCTTTGGGATAAGGTGGGGGTGAGGGCCTCTGTCCTGCCTGATGTCAGCAGAGGGTAGAGCCACTGCCTAGAGCGTTGCTGCACTGAGCTGGTCCTGCAAAGGCTGCATTCCTGGCTGAAGGGTACCCAGGAGGCTCAAGTAGAATAGGCCAGAGTGCTATAGGTGTCTGCTCAGCTGAGGGCACGGGGTGACTGACCAACCGCAGGGAGGGCCTCTCAGGTTTCAAATATGTGCAGATGAAGTTTAAAAACATGGTGTCCAAGTCTTCCCCTTTGGCTACTTAAATAAAGCCTCTGGCTTGTGAGTCCCATAAGCAGGAAGTGGGCAGGTGGAGACACCATTCAGTCTTTCAAGACAACAGGCCAGGACACAGTGTGGTCAGAGTAAGGAAGTGTGTGTTCATCTGTCTCCTTGCTCTCTGTTTCCTTCCTTGCTAATCTTTGAAATTCGAGCCAAACTGTTTCTGCCAGGATGGGTTAGGGGGAGGTAGAGGGAACTCCCACTTAGCAAGACAACTAATGAAGTACTTCTGTGCCTTACTTTCTAAGCACTTTATAATTTATAAAGTACTTTCACACACATGATCTCATTTTGTTTACAAGTGTTCTGGTTACCTAGTGCTGGTCTGACAAGAATATACCACAAATGGGATGGCCTTAACAAACAGGAGTTTATTCTCTTATAGTTTGGAGGCTTTAAGTCCAAGTTCAAAGTGCCAGGCTCTAGGGGCTGGGTGAAAGCCCCTCAACCTTGGGGTCCAGCTCTGCCTCCTGCTCCCGGCCCACTGGAGCTAGAGGCATTTCTTCACTCAGACAGCTGCTGGCTGCTGAGGCTGAGAAGCCCCAAGGTTGACAAGTAAAAAGGCACAGTCCCGATGTTACCCAACCACACTGCAGGCCATTAACTTAAGTCCAATGTAAGTCCCAAGGTTGGCAGAGCATAGTAGGCTGCTGAGCAACGACACGGCTACCTGCAGGGTCCAACCATGCCATAGGCTAGAGACCATTCCCCAAGGCTTCTCCTTATATACAGGAAGCAGACCACATTCCCTAAGGTAGCTACACAGCTGCTCCCTGTAGATTCCACTATGGAGTACCAATCTCATCATGGGGAATACTACATCCAGCTGCCCAGCCACTCAACCAGGCCCAGCCAAGTTGACACACAAACTAAACTACCACAATAAGGTTTCCACCAGTAATGAAAGCTGCTGTGGCAGCCCTCGGAGGCTGAAGCCTGAACACCTCACCAAGACAGAGTTCCTTAAGGAGTCGCTGTTCAAATCCCTAATGGCTCAAATAGCTCTACACACAATATGTGGGCTCTTGGAAACACCCATGGCCAGGGTTCCTGATGCCTGGGGGACAATTGAGTCTTCTGAGTTGAGCAACATGCCACCTTAGTTCTCCCTGGCTTATTCTAGGACCTGCATCATCCCCACTCCCACACACCGCTGTCATGTTCATGGGGAGATGGTGATGAGGGGAGAGCAGCTTTTTGTTGAATGTCAGCAGCACCTGAGCCCCCTCCAAGCTCCATGGCGCTCTTCTGCTATGGCCTGCGTTTGGATGTGCAAGGTAAGTCCGTAGGAAGGACTCAAACAATGTGGGTCCACAGGAGTGAGATGCAGTTACAGGAAGCACCCAGTGGGCAGCTGAAGAAGTGCTGTGATTCATACCGCTTTTCCAGGCCACGTAAGCAGCTCGTGGGGGACTTGGTAAGTAGCTATTTCTTTGTATTCACTTTGTCCTGCAAAAAGTTTACCTCCTTACTTTCTTTTTGCAATGACTTCTTTATCCATTTAAAGCTTCTGTATTTATATTTTCAAACCAGCTGAACCATTTTAGTATGTCTGGTATAAATAAAAGTACTGTCGGAGCTCAGCAGAGGGAGATGGCTTGGAGATGGGCAATGTTTAGTGGGGAGGTTAAGCTGAAAGATTTAGAGAAGAGGACAATCTGTGTCTAAAATGTAGGCAGGCTTTCATTGTAAACCAGAGCACCTTCAGGTCCGCAAAGAACCACATGCAGGCTGCCGCTGTTGCTGCAGTTTCACCCCCTCCTTCAGGACACCTTTCCCTAACTGGCCCTCTCTTACACAGCCTCTCGCATAGGAGAGAACAGTGATTCCGAGAACACTGGGCCAGGAAGTCTAGATACGAGTCTCAGTTTCATCACTGATTTTGGATGTGCTTGAGAAAAATAGTCACTCAGGGTGCCAGGCCTTGATTTCCAACTGGTCCAAAAGGACTGCCCAGCCCACCTCACATGGTCGAGTGAGGAGACCAGGTGTTGTAACTACTGCCTACTCTCAGGCTCCCTGGAGCAATGGGGCTGTGGAGCCAACACCACTTAAGGGCCGTGGGGGGGGGAGGTGCCACTCCATAGAATCCAGTTTTGTCACCAGAGGGAAGCTTTGTGAGCCTGGGGACTTGGACAAGAAGGCAGCTCCA